GATTGATATTGCCTGTTGTGACGCTCCGGCCAACAGGCAATATCAATCAGAAATTCACGTGGGTAAGGTTGGAAAGAATTTGGGCAGCTTTAATTTTAGACGAGAATCCATCTCAGTCACTCTCGCATATTCGTAATTTTCCTTTTTCTGAAATTTCCTACTACTCGAACTTCTCTAATTTTATAAAATTCCATAACTATGTGTTATATTCAAGTAGCAATAACAATAACAAGCAATAATAATAAACAAAATTCTAATTCTGCTGCCTAATTGGTATTTTAAATAAGTCTGAGGAATATGCGAAAGGATTATGCTTAGAGAAAATAAATCGATATTATTTATAACATCAACAGCTAGTATTAATCATCTGCTGATATGCCTAAGTTCTTGCTAAAACTAAAACGGCCAAGGTATTTTATCAAGTCTTGAAAATGCGTAAATTTCCGTTTACTTTTCTTAAAGTGCTTCCCTCACATCTCTTCTTTCCTGAATTAGCATTATTGAATAACCAACTTGTTTCCCTTGGTATAGCAGAAAATAGAAAGACTGAAAATTGATGCTTGCGGCTCATTCCAGTTCACATTTTAAATAGTAATGGCACAATGTGTTGCTCCTACTACTTTTCAGTGTGTTCAAAAGTGAACTTCATTGAGAATATTTGCAGTGCTTATAAGCATGAGCTAGATCTGCTATAAGTTATTAGCACATTCAGTTTCTCTTCATGTCTTGGTTCGGATTCTTTATCAGAATTGGAAATGGATTCATACAGCAGAGATTTAGCGCTCCGAATATTCAACTGAGAAAAATACTCGATTCTGACTATCACTTCTTGTACTTCATGTTCTGCGCGTCCCTTTATTTCACTTACTTTCTTGCATCATTTTTCATAAATCGATGGAAAAAACATTGCCTGTTGACAGCCATCGTCTACACACAACTCATTGCAGTGATGTTTTTGATTTAATTTCAATGAAGAAATTTACACCATCTTTATTACGGGTAACTCCTACGAGTTCACCTTACCGATGCCAAAAGTGATTTGTTGGGTTGGCTTCCAAATTTGTTAGAGTGTCGCACCAATTGAACTCAACCGCCAATTACCACCTCCCTTCCAGTCATAGTAAAAAAACAAGTTTAGCAAGCTCTCTGTCATTGATGCCCAAATTTCGAGTTCTTCCGTCTGCATCTCAGTACTCCATCAGACTTTGCGACTATCTCTTAAAGTCCACGTTATTTCTTAAAGCATCCTAAAGTCTGCGTTATTTAAATTTCATATCGAAGTTGACTTGAATATAACGATTCCTGTGTCTGCTTATCTGGGAATCTGGCGCTGCTCAAATGCCGTGGATAATTGCACTGTTGAGTTTCGAGAGACCGATCTGTCTTTCAAGTCATCTTATCTATTTAACGGTTGCTTAAAGTTAAGTAGTAGTCTTTTTGCTTTTTGCTCCCTGCTAAATTTTCACTCTTTCAAATCAATAAATTAATTTGAATTTTAGAACTTTTTTAGCTGAGTGTTTTGCAGCTGGCATTGCTTATCACATATTAATGGATACTTTGGATCTGTATTATAAAGTAGCTATAATTTGCCAGGAAGTGCAAAGATAGTCCTCTCCACGTTTTAATTCTAAATTCGAAGCGTCCACTGGCAACAAGCTGCGCAACGTGTGGCAGCCACACTTCTATCCACTTACTGCACTTCCGGCCAACTTCAATTTATCGATTATTGTAATTCGATTATCTGTCATGCGCTCTTAATCTAGATAGAGTTAATGTATAAAAGTGCAATGTGGGCGAAAGAAATGCGTATTATAGAAGTAATGAATGCATTTAGCCACGAGTGGACAGAAAGCACGAGGATGGACAGAGTGGACAGGACGGGGGCTTCTCTCCTCCTCCACTTTCATTTCCTAAACTGAATGAAAAGAAATGGATCAGTACATAGGTGTACTCGAAGTCCTGTCTTGTTGAATGTTATACTTAGAGGAAAGGAAAGCGGTGAATGTTGACATAGAGAGGGAGAGGGAAGGTTCTAAAAATATCAGTGAGGATGATAACTGAGAAGTAAAGAAGGAAGGACCGAGAGGAAGAGGATGACAGTTGTTGACAAGGTAGTAGAGTATGTTGATCAGAGGAGAAACAATTTCACAACCGAGGGTGGTGAAAGTTGTGGATGTTGTCGCAGCTGATGGATGCTGGCGGAACTGATGCCTGGAAGCAGCTTGGCTTTAACGAGAATGGTAATTGGGAGAAGAAGGCCTCATTCCATCAGTTAGCTAACTGTCCTCTTCCCTTATTACCATGTTTATTATGGCAGCAGCAATTGTAGCTATGCTGCATCGATGAATCAGTCAGTTCTCGTCACCCACTCTCGCAAATATTCAAATCTCCGCAGCTTTATCTTATCGATTGAAAGCTGGTCCATAAGTATGGACAGTCCCATCCTCCTTTTATCTTTTATTCAACCATTTCCTCCTCCCACTCATTCTCCTTCATTTGCAACAAAGCCTCCCTTTTATTTCACTCCAATCAATCGATCAATCAATCATTCATTCATTCGTTCATGTGAATCGATTTCACACACGCAACCTAACCATTCCTTCAGTTTTGTCACTTTTCCTATAAAAATATTCTGAATGGAATGATCAGGCTCCGACTAATTTTTCCAAATTTTAATCTCACAAATTGCTTAGTCCAATTATTTCGTAGTTTTTTTAAGGGCTTTTGAAACACATACAGTTGCTTCACATTTTTCGAATTGAGTGTGTAAGATGGGAAGAGGTGTGGAGCAGTGACAAATAGGTCGTAATCTATTTTTACATCGCAAAATGTAGCAGTGATAAGTGGTGTCCATCAACCGAGTGAATAAGGCACTGTTACACAATTCGGGAGTGAAACGTTAACCAAACAGCCATTATCTTTGTATTCTGTCTGTCAACAATTCCGCAATGAGAATTTAAAAAAGCGCAACAGATTCTCTTGCTAATTTCATCGCTTAAATATTTCCAACCATCATTAATGAACTTCTCTCCGTCTTCAGTGCAGCGTCACTCAATCTGATTCCTCCCTCTGTTCTCTTTTTCCTTTGTCACATATTATCTGTGTACTTTGATGATTTACAACGTACAATGAACCTTTATAAGTGGTAACAGTTGATTTCAAGAGGGTCTGTTTCACTCCGGCTGGCTAGTGAACAGGTGTATGTGCCTAATTGGATACTGTTCTTTTCTCGGTATTTACTTGCGCGATAGAATTCTCGATGCCCTCTCGTCTCCCTAAAACGCGGTTCTTGAAAACTTGTTCTCACTAACCTTGAGCTTTTTTTCTTCAGATTTTCTGATAAACATTGAACAAAGAAACCAATGTATCTGGAGTTCATCAATAACATCTCGTATAGGAATGACCGATAAAGTGGAATTGTGTTTTATCTACTGCGTTGCGTCAGCCTTTTACGGTTTTTAGTGGCAGTTAACTTTTCCCCATTCGATAGCATCCATGTGTAAAATATTTAGAGATTTCCTGAATGGATAAAGCGGAGGAATTGTTAGAGTGATTGCTGTTGTCGCAAATTCTGAATGTAGAAGGTCGAAAAAAAGGCTTTTTCTATCATGTGGAATCACTTGCAAGCGATGTTTATGAACCAAAAAAGATCTGCTACGTTCTTCAGAAATTCTGAATTAAAAAAAATTATTCTGTCAAAGAAGAAATGATTGATCGGTTGTTATCTTCGATCTTCCTTCTTCAATTTATTGAATTAGCGGACAGACAGTAACGAAACATGAGCACTAAAAATAAGGATTGGCATAGTTATATTAAAAAATAAAAGCATAATGAGGCCTATAAATGGATTCTCGAAGGCATAGTTGCATTCGAGTTGTCCAAAACTGTAATTATGCCTCTTCAATACGAACCACATTTGCTATTGCTCAGTAACATCAAAAGGAAACGAAATTGATGTTAGAAAGTCTGAATCGGCGCTACTGTCACATGCTCTTTTCGTCCCTGCGCTATTATCTCACGTTCCACACTTCTGCTCACCTGGAATTAAGTATTTCCGATGTCCGCATTAGAAGTTTTTACATAAATTTTCGCATCTTCCTTCGAAAACATGCATGCGAAAGCGTATTGTGATCAGTATGCGTTGTTGTCAATCCCATGTGAATTTATAAGCTCGAGAATTTTTATGAGAATAAACTTTTGTCAATTTGTTTTATCCTTATTGCGATAAGAAGTAAGAATTTCAGATGAAACACAATCTCTGACTAAATTTTCAGTTTATTCTCCACCTTCTCGAATGAAAGCAAATCACCGCCGTCTACGCTAGTTCACTCCTTTCAGGAAGATATTTGTTAAGTTGCATTCCAAATGTCAATCGATTTTCTTAAATTTCATTCCATCTCAAAGATTTAAACCTTTAAAGATGTCGAAAGAGGGATTTTTCGTGAAAAAATATGCAATTTACATGAAGTATGAATATTACAACTTCACAATCTTTCGGAAAAAATTTTTTTAGATCCGACTTTCACACTTTACCAATTCACTCACAAAGGTTCCTGTTTAACAATCTCTGAATTAATCTTTCATTGAATTTTAATCGACTCACACTTCTGACCCTTCTCAACTGATACTATTTCAAGAATTGGGGTGAACAAATCATGAAAGCAACAAATCAGTTGCTTTCAAAACTTTTCCACTCATTAGCAGTCATAAAAAAATATTTCTGAAACAAAAGTTCAGGTGAAATGTTCAGCAGATCTTCAGACTTTCATTTCGTTTGTGATAACGGCACTCCACTCCCTATTGATTGATCCTGCGGCTAATTCTTTTTTCTGAATATTAACGTGTCGCTTGAACATCAGATTCTGTAATTTAATTTGATCAACAGTTTCGCCGAGACTGTTTCGTCCACTACCGCATAGATCCATTTCGTTCATATATTAATAAACGAGCATGGTTTCAACTCTAATTCATTCCATTAGTTTCAGTTTCTGAAACATATTATGGCGGACACGGATTTTAAAGGGTTCTCCATACATCGAGTCATGGAAGCTGATTTTGATGATGCTAAAAAATTTTTGCTGGCCGATTTCTTATACAATGAACCGCTGAATAGGTCAGTGAATCTGACTGCTGAAGATGCGGATGAGCTGTTTAATGGTTAGTTTATCGATATTTCTCCCTGTTTGCTTGCCGATCGCTATTCGTAGTTGTTAAATTGTTTTTGATTTGATAGAAGCAGTTATTCTTTCTCTCCTTAATTTACAAAAAAGGCATTCTAAATGAACGGCTATTAGATCTGGTAAATCGCGGGATTTCCTCTTCATTATCATATGTACTACGAACACCTGATGGCAAAATTGTTGCACTTAGGTTGTCTGCAATACTGGATCGACCGGAGGAAAAGCATCAAAGTCAGGTACATACTCTCTTTCATTTACCCCATCATCAGAAAATGATTTGCATGAGCTTTATCATATCAGCCACTTGATAAGATAGAAGACGTTTGCAGCATAGCGAAGTATCAATTTGTAATGAAGGTGCAACAAGTGATAATAACAATAGGACAACAACGGAACCAAAGAGATACCTTCCGAGGGCGCAAATTGTCGAGGATATTCTTCTAGAACTGGAAAGCAAGGCTTGTTAATACTTCCTTCACTAAATCACCTAAATCACCATTCCTTCTCTCATCTAACAGGCATTCTTTCCAGGTTTGGACTCTCATTAATCCGCGAATAAATCGCCTGGTTCTTTGGTCTGTAATTTCAGTGCACAAAGATTACACTAGACTTGGATTTGCCAAAAAATTGCTTTGTCATAAGTTGGATGAGGCCAAACAACTGGGTTGTCAGGGTTGTATTGCACAAGCATCCGCATTTAAATCACAATTGGTATTTTTCTATCTTCACTTATAAAGGAAGGAAAACGATTCAGCATTCTGGGCAATTAATAATGGTAATTTATAGCTATTCAAAAAAATTGGCTACGAGAAGATTCATGAGGTGAAGCACGTCGATTGGCTTGATGACAGAGGACAACAGATCTTCCACTGTGATGACGGCACCGATCACATACAGCTTGTTTTTAAACCACTGCAGTAATGAGTAACTGTTTATAACGGAGTTGAGTCACAAATAAATTCAAACTTTTAATTTCAATTTAACAAACATCTACTCGAAAAGTTCATTTTTCCCCTCTTCCCTATCATTTTTTTTGTGTCGTTAGTGAAGTTGCATGCAGCGTCGGTGGTAGTCATACTGTCGCATTATACAACTAATAATGTTAGGGATACAAATTTGACTCGATGAAGAATACAGTTTGGTGCGCATCGAACTGCTGTAGTGGGGAGTTTGCAACTATATTTTTTGCAAATGTTCATTCAAATAATTTCACGGAAGAATTTATTTGCTTTATTTGGATAATCGAATTGTCAGTGATTGATGACTTAGGAAAGTAATGGAAATTCATCCATGCATTTCTTTACTTAAATATTCCATGCATCTAATTTTCGCATATAGCAAAGGAACATGAATTGAAGCGGTGAATGATTGAATCAGTGAATAAATATGTAATCAGATCTCATTACTCCTGATTTACAACTAAACGGAGAGGTGAGGTCAGTGAAAAGGGAAAAGGTCGATGATCTGTCCAGTCGTATAACAGCAGTTATAGTTGACACAGTCCCTTTAAGCGGGCTATAACTCATGGAAGGTGCTAAACCTGTACGGGGAGACGACTACCTCAGTTATATTTGGAAGTTTTTCGGGTCGCTTTTTTTGGGTAACATGGCAATTCAAAGCAGATTGCAAACCTCATCCAACGCTAGGAAAAATTGCAAAGAACTCTGAAAATACATTATATATATAATGTACACGGGGCAAGATCACCTCGTCCGTTTACCTTCCATGAGCGTACGTGCTGGGAGTCGAAGGATGGTGAACCATACCTGAGCGAGAGGAAAAAACTGCGGTATTTTTTGGCCTTTTCCCTCTGTTTTGGACGGACAATTTTGACCTCGTGTGTCCTCCTACAATTCAAAAATTGTCTCACAAAGCACAACAGAACTGATTATTAAAATATGGATATATTATTTTCTTAAGTCGTCCAACATTCTTTTTTCTGAGGCTAACACAAGAAAACACCACCATGACAGTTTTTTGATTTAACTTCGCCAAATGATAGATGTTAAAATCGATCAGGCACTAACATAATACAGTTAATCATTGCGTCTGCGCAAATTAGTATAATTATATTTTAATGAGCAAACAAGCAAATTGATTGCATTATAATTTGCTTGTTGAAAAGGTTCTAATCTTCAATGTTATCCTTTCATTTCAAACTAATTCATTTGCTCATTCTCACCTTTCTACTCGTTTCTTTTCTTTTCAAAATTGGATTGTTACAAATATCCTTCTTTTCCATCAATTAGCCTTTTCTCATTCACGTGAAGCAGAAATTTCGAGCAAATTGAGCAATTTTGGCTAGACAGTAACATTGTTTTGCTCAGCAAGGGAGAATGAATGTTTCCTTTCTTCCCTTCGATTTCGAAGTCGATTGAGCTTCAAAGTTTCTTATTATGTGACAGTGTCGGTGATGAGATTGAAGGTTGATAAAATTTTGATATTTCCGACAAATTCCATTTCCTGCTGCTTCCATCATCCTGCTTCTGCTCCTTGTGGTCCTGTATCTCCCTCCACTCCTTGCTCACCTGACAGTCCTTGCTGTCCTCGAGGCCCATGTATAGCTTCTGGTCCTAGATACCCTTGCACTCCAGTATCTCCCATTGCTCCTTGAGGTCATCGTGGTCCTTCCCGTATTTCCATCTTTTCCATCTGCTCCTCTAGGTCCTGGCTGCGATGGACAGGACTGAAAATAAGATTCGCTCATTCTTTGCAGACTACTTCCAATCAGTTTCTCACTTCAACATCATCCACTGGGAAACTTACTTGAACCTGGAAAACGGCGCAGAGAACCAACAGCGAAGTACTGAGTAATTGCACTGATTCCGATAACTGCAAAATAATCGCTTCCTGCAACTTTTCAAATTTTCTTTAAAATTTTTTAATTTCTTGAATTTTTTGAGGTGTAGAATAAAAAGACCTATGAAAAACTGCTTTGAATCCTTTTCAAGATCATACTTTGAATAAAAATCCGATATGGATGGAACTTTTCTCTCATTTTTCATTCATTTCAAATCGTCGCTTAACTAATTGTGATGAATCGAAATCAAATGACTAGAATATCGAAATTCTAGCTGAGTAAGTACGAGATCATTGAACATGCAAAAAAAAGTTTTGAGATAAAAACTGAAATTTTATAAAGTGATTCCAAAGAGAAAATTTCTATTTATACTAAGAAGTTAAACAACTAATATG